CCCCCCTATATCCCCCTATACACCCCTATACACCCCACCCCCAACCCCCCCATCCCCAAAAGTTTCTCAGCGGATTTGGGCTGTACTCAGCAAGCACAGGACAGCTTCCAACTCAGATCTGAAAAAAAAATAGTGGATGGTTGTTTTCTGACTGGTCGGCAGACCGCCGACCGGTCGGCCCTACTGGTCGGCTGCAATACGGTCGGCGGTCGGGGTCGGCGGTCGGCAGGGATGCAACCATGGCGTAAAGAGAAAAAAAAAAAAGAGGCTAGAGAACTTTAAAAAAAAGAGAAAAAGATAACCCCCAACTGAGAATGTACGGTAAAAAAAATACAAAAAATAAAAAAAGCCAAACCCAGAACTGAGAATCTAGGTCACCTATGTTCAACAGTTGACAACATAGGGAAAAAAAAAAAAAAAGTGGAAAATTGGGAAAGTCCCAACTTTCCCAAATTCTTCCCAATTTTCCACATTCTCTGCACATTCCCAATTTTCAGCAACCGGCACGACACCATCTCTTCCGAATGTGCCGCGGGCCCGAGGCCACAGCATATGTAAGAACATCCATCCAGCACGGTGACTTGATCACGAAAGGTGACGCTGTGCATCCATGAGTGCATAGGAGGACACTTGCCACCACCGAATTTGAAGGCATCGGTAGATTTTGTTGCCCCCTAGCCGCATCTGGTGATCTTATTGAGTAATGTGCACAGAAATCCTTGCACAGCACAGCGGTCTAACCTCGTTGTGCCCCCTAGCCGCATCTGGTGATCTTGTTGAGTAAAGTGCACAGCAATCCTTCAGCATCATAAAAAGCACGACTCACAAAGCATATACGTTGGGTGAAGGAAGCAATCATAGGGCAGAGTTTGGCAAACCGCCGAACTTGCCCAACCGTGCAAAGCATTCCCAGCAGCAGTAGAAAAATTGCCCAACAGTGCAAAGCATATAAACTTGGGTGATGGAAGCAATAATAGGGCAAAGTTTGGGAAACCGCCGAACTTGCCGCGGCAGCAGTCCTGCTGCAAAGTGGATTTGCTTGTGAACGACGAAC